GGGTTTGGTCTGAGCCAAGCACCACCCAGGGCACCACCCACGTCTGAGGATTACACACCGAAAGGACAGACAAGGCAGGCACCAGAGACCCGCTAAAGTGAATACTGCTGTGTACTGTCAGTGCCTGCACAACAGCTCCTTCATTGATCATGACCAGTCATCACAATCAGTGTGAGGGTCAATCCTTCTCATTGATGAGCCAATAGCAACCAAGGCTCAACTATAACAGGAGGACACACACACACCATACAAGGGATATACCTGGAACACCTGTTTCAGGTGATGAGGGAAGGCTGTGCCACTGAGACCCATAGCACACCTACTATATAAGGCCACTTAACTAAGACCAGGAGACATAGCAGCCCTACCTAATACATAGAAACAAACAAAAGTAGACAACCAAAATTGGGCAACAAAGGGACATGTTTCAAATGAAAGAAGAGAACAACGCTCCAGAAAAAGAACTAAACAAAATGGAGATAAGTGATCTACCAGATGCAGAGTTCAAAACATTGGTTATAAGGATACTCAGTGAATGTAGAGGGAGAGTAGATGAACTCAGTGAGAACTTTAACAAAGAGATAGAAAACATCAAAAAGAACCAGTCAGAAATGAAGACTAAAATAACTAAAATGAAGAATGCCTTAGGAGGAATTAACAGTAGGTTAGATGAAGCAGAGGACAGAATCAGCGATTTAGAAGATAAGGTAACAGAAAACACCCAATTAGAACAGTAACAAGAAAAAAGAATCCAAAAAGAAATGAAGATAGTTTAAGGGGCCTCTGGGACAACATCAGGTGTACCAACATTCACATCATAGGGATACCAGGAGGAGGAGAGAGAGAGCAAGGAATTGAAAACTTATTTGAAGAAATAATGACAGAAAACTTCCCTAACCTGGTGAAGGAAATAGACATACAAACCCAGGAAGCACAGAGAGTTCCAAACAAGATGAACCCAAAGAGGTCTGCACCAAGAGACATCATTATTAAAATGCCAAAGGTTAAAGATGAAGAGAGAATCTTAAAAAGCAGCAAGAGAAAAGCAGTTAGTTACCTTCAAGGGAGCTTCCATAACACTGTCCGCTGATTTCTCAACAGAAACTTCGCAAGCCAGAAGGGATTGGCAGGAAATATTAAAAGTGACAAAAAGCAGGAGCCTACAACCAAGGTGACTCTACCCAGCAAAGCTATCATTTAGAATCAAAGGACAGATAAAGAGATTCTCAGATGAGAAAAAACTAAAGGAGTTCATCGACACCAAACCAGTATTACAGGAAATGTCAGAGAGACTTCTTTAAGAAAAAGAAGGAAAAAGAAAAAAAGATTAAAAAAAATGAATAAAATGGCAATAACTACATATCAAGAAACAGTTACTTTAAATGCAAGTGGATTAAATGCTCCAGTCAAAAGATAGAGTTGCTAAATGGATAAGAAAACAAGACCCCTACATATACTGCCTGTAAGAGGCTCACTTCAGATCGAAAGACACACAGAAACAAAAAAAATTTTAATAAGAGAAAGACACAGAAACTGAAAGTAAAGGGATTTAAAAAGATGTTTCATGAAAATTCAAACAAACAAACAAAATTTGGGGTAGCAATAGTCATACCAGGCAAAATAGACTTTAAAACAAAGGCTATAACTAGAGACCAAACAAACAAACAAACAAACAAAACCCCAGTTATCCTACTTCTGGGTATTTATCTGAAGAAACCCAAAACAATACTTTGAAGGGACATGTTCCCTCATATGTTCATTTTAGCATTATTTATAGTAGTCAAGATATGGAGGCATCCTGGATGTCCATCAATGGATGAATGGATAAAGAAGAGGTGGTCCATATATACAATGGATATTACTCAGCCATAAAAAAAGAATGAGATCTTGCCATCTGCAACAACATGGATGGACCTAGAAGGTATTGTGCTGAGCAGAGTAAGTCAGACAGAGAAAGATAAATGCCATGTGGAATCTAGAGAACAGGATAAAAAGTCAAACAACAGAAACAAGGTCATAGATATAGAGAGCATTTTGATGGTTGTCAGATTGGGAGGTGAGGGGAGAGGTAATGGTGGGAGGGGATTAAGAAGTACAAATTGGTAGTTACAAAATAGTCATGGGGATGTAGAGTATAGCATGAGGAATATAGTCAGCAGTATTGTAATAACTATGTATGGTGTCAGATGGGTACTGGACTTATTGGGGAGACCACTTCATAAGTTATATGTCTAATCACTGTGTTGTACACCTGAAACTAATATAATATTGTATGTTAACTCTAATTAAAAAAATAAAAATAGAAAAATTAAAAAAGGAAGAAAATCTGTCAATATAATTCATATTAACTAAAAAAAATCATGTTATATCTCAATAGATACAGAAAAGACTTTTGACAAAATCCAACATTTATTTCTGATAAAAATTCTCAGTAAACTAGAAATAGAAGAGAACTTCCTCAACCTGAGAAAGGATGTCAACAGACTTAAGAGGTCTTAAATACAAATTCAGAAGCCCACTCAATAAAAGGAAAAAATTGATAAATTAGGCTTAATCAAAATTTTAAACTTCTGCCTTTGGAAATACACATTAATAGAATGAAAAGAAAAGGCACAGACTGAGAAAAATATTTGCAAAGCATATATCTGATAAAGGACTTGTATCCAGACTATGTAAAGAGCAGTCAAAACTTAATGTTGAAAAAATGAACAACCCATTTAAAAAATGGACAAAAGATTTCAACAGATATTTTACCAAAGAAGATACACAGATAGCAATTAAGTACATAAAAAGATATCTAACATCATTAGTCATTTGGGTCATGCAAATTTAAACACAATGTTGTACTGCTACACACCCATTAGAATGGCTAAAAGTAAAAAGGCTCACCACACCAAGTGTTAGCAAGGAAGTGGAGGAACTGGAATGCCTGTGCACTGCTGGTGGGAATGTAAAGTGGTACGATCACTTGGAAAACAGTTTGTGGTAATTGCTTAAAAAGTTAAACATACATATAAAAAATATGTACATAGATTAAACTTACATGCATGAAAAATACATTAAAAGTTAAACACAAAGATTTAGAGCTAGATCCTGCGCAGGGGCATAGCTGGACCTTAGAGTGTCTGTCAACATCTGGGCAGGGCAGATCCAAGTTTTGTAGACGAAGTTTATATGAAACTTATGTGATTGGGGTGGTCCTCTTTAGGAAAAATAATTGAAAAATGAGAAATTCATATTAGGTACAAACCTGTGTATTCATTTTAGATGAACAGGAAACCACAACAAGTTCTTGCAGCCATGGACCTCCAGGTCCCTTCCCTTTCTTCTGAGTCATCTTGAGACCCTTTTCCAGAAAAGCTTATGCAAAAAAGTTTCCTGTTAGCATCCAGCTCCCCCTCCCGCCAGGAACACTCAGTCATCCCAGCTCTCATAGTCCATGTGGTGTGGGGACCTAAAGATGCAGATCCACTGTCTGTGCCCCCATGAATGACCCTTGCAGCCGGCTGAGCTGTAGGTGCAGTCTTTCCTTTCGACAGGTCCACACTGCCTCTTGGGATTCTGCTGTCTCTGCTTCTGCCCCAAGCATACTTCCTTGCCACCTCTGCAGCTCTGCTGACCAGTAGCTTCATGGACTCAAAGGAACAGGGCTGTGTGTGTAGTGGAGGACTCCAGAAGGCAACCTAGGGCCCTGGCAGTCTTATCTTCATGTTCACCACCCTCCTGAGCTTTGGGCCCTATGGGCCTCTCCAGCCTGCTTCCCCACTACAGCCGCAGGCCTTGCTTCTAGTGTCCCCTCAGCAAGGATGCACTCCTTCCCATGCCCCAGCCCTCAGAGCAGCCTCATTTGTGTCTCTAGTCCTTAGCTACCTTTCTGTGAACATTATCAGCCCAACTCCTCATTTGTAGGAGATGGCAGGAGCATGGGGTGAGTCAGCCCAGAGCTAGAGACTGAATCCCTGACTGTACTATATATTAGCTATGTGAGTTCAGACATGTTCTTTAATCACTCTGTGCTTCAGTTTCCTCATCTGTAAAATGCAGATAGTAACAGTACCTCCCTCAGAGTCACTGTGAAGATTAAAGAATCCTAAGAGGGCAAATGTATCTGTCAGCTTTGTTCATTTAAGTGTCTGCAGCTTCTAGAAGAGTCCCAGGCATGTACCAAGCACTCAGTAAGCCCTTGCTCCTGTCTGGTCTCCATCCTGGGCTTGTGGGCTCTAGCAAGAACCATCTTGGGTATCACAGTTCTCACCATTGCCATCCTGTCCCCTTGGGAACATGGGTTCCTGGGACTCACCCCACTGGCAGACTGTCCTAGTTAGGGTCTGAGGCCCTGGGACCTTAGGCAAGTACATAGGCAAGTTACATATTACGGGATTTTGGGGGGGTGCCATAAAGACAAGATCATTCTTGAAAATTTCTTAAATTACCTATGAACTTTAGTGTAAATGGTCTATACACATAAAGAATAATTCATTTACATGTGAAAGATTAATTCATTTACACATGAAAACATGAGAACCACTGGAACTCCTTAGGGAAAAAGTCAGTTTGCAAACAGCTGTCTGAGCTTCCCCATCCACATTCCTTTAGCTAAGGATCTAATGTCTAGCTGTGAGCAGAGGCAGGTGCAAACTTCTGGAATGGTTACTCTGGGTATGAACTTTTCTAAGCTGGCCTCAAATCTGAATGCTTTTTTCCTAATAGTGCCCTAGGATGATTTTAATGATTTCAGATTTATATGGAAAAATAAGACTAAGGGAGAAAAGAGAAATCTAAAAGTTCCCCAAAGACAGATGAGTGAGGTGTGAGGGACGGGCTGCAAAATTAGAACCCAAAGCGTGGCCATTGCTGAAAGGTGTTGGAGAGAGGGCTTTCTTGCAGCCCAGGTGGATAAAAACGAACCCGTGCCTGGGCTGAAGAGAGTGCTGTTGGGAAGGGCACCCGGTATCTGCCCAGGGGTCCCTGCAGTAAGCCTGTGTCTCCCTGTCTTGCAGGTGGTGCCGGGGAGCGGGAGAAGGTGCCGGCCAACCCTGAGGCGCTCCTGCTCATGGCCAGCTCCCAGCGTGACATGGAGGACTGGGTGCAGGCCATCCGCCGGGTCATCTGGGCCCCGTTTGGTGGAGGTACTGCCCGTAGCCCGCATGCTCACCCTCTAGAACCCTTGCCTCCAGGTAATCATGCCCTTTGCCTCCCACTGGGCCTGCAGGACTCTGCTCGCTCAGGACTCCCTGGCTGTGCCCATGCTTCTTCTGGCATGTAGGCAGTGTCATCCTCTTCTGCTGCAGGCCCCCAAGAGCTCCTCGTCAGGTGCACCAAGAAAGCCCTGGCAGGGGAAATCAGGGCCACTTTTCAAAGACACGCCCTCCTCCAACCAGATAGTCCTATAGCTTTTGCGTACTTGCCTCTCTGCATCAGACCCCTGCAGGACACTGGGAGTGTGTGAGGTGGTCTGCACATAGTCCAGAAGTGGATGCTCACGGGGTCATATCAGATGCCTAAGTACAGCTTCCTTCTTGCTGAGCCATGTGGGGCTCTTGCACTGCCTACAGAACTCACCCCCTAATATGAAAGCTGCAGTTCCCATTTACTCACTTCCTCCTTTATTCATTCAAAACACTTACTGAATGCCTAAAATGTACTGGGTTGCATTCTAGATACTGGGAATTTAGTGGTAAACAAAGTAGATGATGCCTCCACCCTCCCATCACCTCCTTTGTCCCGTGGGAGACAGATGGTAGGCATATAAACATGTCCCATGATGTCTAGTAGTGAGAAACCCAATGAGCAAAGTAAAGCTAAGTGGGAGGACAGATAGTATGTGTTAGAGGTTGTAGCCCACCAGGAGAATGCTGAGGGAAGAGCATTCAGGCAGAGGGACCAGCAAGTGAAAAGGCCCTGAGGTAGGGTTGAGTGATGGGTACACAGGAATCTCAGGAAGGCCAGGTGGTCTGAGGGAGTGAGGATAAGAAAGTGGAGGACCTCTGAGGTGACAGAGGTTGCCGAGACCTTGGGGACATGACGGGGATTACAGCTTTTGTTCTAAATTGATGGGGCATCAGGAAGAGCTCTGAGCAAGAGACAGATACTACCTGACATAGATTTATAAAAAGAGCCCTCTTGGCTGCTGCCATGTAAGGGATAGACCATAGAGAGACAAGAGCGGATGCAACATGCTGGGACAGTCATGAGACAAGGGTCACAGGGGCATGGGATGGCGTGGGAGTGGAGAAGATAGTGAAGAATGGTCAGCTGTATATGGGTTCTGAAGGTAGAGCTGCTAGGTTTTGCTGATGGTCTGGAAATGGGGTAGAAGAGAAAGGAAAGATGACTCCCATCTGTGGAGTTGCTGTCTCTGTAGGTTGGTGCCTCTATGAAGTCATCACGAAAAGAGCTTTTAGAAGGGGTTACCACGCCAGGTAGACTAGGATCACTGATTCTCTGCTGAATGTGGAGACCAGGGCCTTCAGGCTGGCTGGGTTCTGACCATGAGCCATGGATGCCCTTTCTCTCCCCACACAGTATTTAATTGGTGCCACGTCCAGGCAAAGAGAGAAGCTTATTTTTAGGGGCTCACAGCTCATCTGCATATCCTGCATGCCCTGTAGACTGAGCCTCTTCCTTCACTCCTCACCTCACCAGTTCTCCTCTTTCATTCCTGGCTACGGAATTCGCGAACTTTTCATAGAACCACAAATCTCTCATGCAGAAGAGTCATTATGACTTTGAAAGTCAAAGTTTTCTCCTTGGCTTCATAAATGGCCTCACATTGTTAGCCATGGCCTCCCTGCCCTCTGATGATTGCAGCAAATATGACCCATAGCCCCAGTTTAATTGGCCTGGCAGAGCCCAAGCCCACCCAGGGATTTCTGCAGCCTCTATGGGCCTCCTGTGGTGCAAGGTGGTTGAAAGTGAACTGGTGGATCAGAAGAGAGACCAGAAGCAGACTTCCATGCAGCTAGACTTTGCTTTATGACAGGTGACACCTTTGAGTACTAGGAAAAGAGAATATCATCATGATCTTGTGGCAGAGAAAGATTTTTTAAAAATGAGTTACTAAAAGCATTAATCTTTTAGGAAAATATAGACAAATTGTGCCACATAAAATGAAGAGCATCTGTTCTTTAAAACATAGATTTTAAAAATGAAAAGACAAGCTATAGGTTAAGAGAAGGTATTTGCGACATGTACAACCATCAAATGACTTACATCTCAAATTTGACTTACAAACCAATAAGGAAAAGACAGACAAGCCTGTGGAAACACACTCAAGAGACTTGTACAGGCACTTCGCAAAAGAAGAAATCCTCATGACCAAAGAACATAGTCGATGGTGTTCAACTTTATTAGTAATCAGGGAAATGCAGATTTAACCACAGTGTGATTCTTCTACTCACCCACCAGCATGACTGAATGAAAAAGATGACAGATTCCAAGCAGTGATGAAGATAGTGAACTACAGACACTTGCATATTCTGATAGGAAAGTAGTTTGGCAATATCTGCAAAAGTCAGCACTATGCACACCTGTCAGCGATTGCACTGCTAGGCATGTCCCAAAGTCAGCGATTGCACTGCTAGGCATGTCCCAAAGAGGAATATGTGCACGGGTATGCCAGGAGACTTGTACGTGTCACATGTTCACAGCAGCCATATTTGTGACGGACTGATGCCAACCGAGTGTTTAACAACAATATAATGGATAAATTAATACATTTCATTCTTAGAAAACTCATAACAGTGAGTTTAACTACAGCTCAATCCAATAAGCCTGAATCCTAAAAACATAATGTGGAACTAGGAAAGCCCAATAACGAGCTTTATGATTCAATTTATAAAAAGTTGAAAAACAAGGCAGAAGTATACTATATTATTTATGGATGGATAAATAGGCAGCAAAAATGTAGAGAAGCAAAGAAATGAATGACATAAAAGTCAGGATGGTCTATGGCCATGCCATCCTGAACGTGCCTGATCTCATCTGATCTTGGAAGCTAAGCAGTGTTGGGCCTGGTTAGTACTTGTATGGGAGACCACCTAGGAAGACCAGGTGCTGCTGGCGTTTTAAAAAAAAAAAAGTAAGGATGGTAGTCATAGTTACACAGATGTTTATTTTGCAATATTGTGCTAATCTGTACACATACACTATAAGTACTTTTCTGGATATTTGCATATTTCACTATAGAAATAATAAAAGATAAATCAAAGAATGAAAGAAGAGAAACTGCAGGTCGAAGAGTCTAAGTAATTTGCTGAAGACAACACAGCTAGTCAGGGAGCAGAGCTGAAAAATGAAGTCTGATGTTCTGAGCCCAAAGGCCATGCTTTGTCCCAATCCATGCAGGACACTATCATGCATGGTTTACCTGCACTCAGTGTGCTGGCTCCCCTGCCCAAGCATTTTTCTTTCTCTCTGTCTCTATCTCTGTCTCTCTCCCTACATCTCTGTGTTTGCTCAGAATAAGGACCCTTTGCAGAAACCCATGTAGAACCCAGATTCACCTCTCCTCCAGGCTCCCCAGCATCAATCAAACTTCTCAGGCTGTGCTAAGTGCTGAAGAACTTGCAAGAATTATAATAGGAACCTTCATCAAAGGCGCTTATCTCCTTTCTACCAGAAATAGAGAGGAAACGCAGAAATCCCAGGGGTTAGTGATGGCAGACATGTCTGGGCAAGCATGGGCACTCACAGGTGGGCTCAGTCAGCTTCTGGAGGTTTCCTGGTAAAGCTGTTATTAGCCTGAGTTCCCCTGGAAAGGAGGCTTAGAGGATCAGTGCTTCTTTCACTGTTTAATAACGGAGCCCAGGAGCCCTTTCAAGCATGTTTGTTCTGGCAGAGAGTGGGCTGCCTCTGACAGACACGAATGGGCAGCGTTCCTGCAGCAGTTAAGGGAGAGCCCGGGCATCCCCACAGAGAAAACTGGGGCAGGCCAGTGGGTCGGGGGAGCCTGTTACTGCTGATGGCCTGCCAAGGGTGGCCCTGACTGGAGTGTGTTTTGTCTGGCCATTCATTGATTCATTTCTTCATTCAGCCAGTTAGTCATTCACTTGAGAATATATTCTAGGGGCTGGGGATACAGCAATGAGCAGGAAAGATAAAGACTGTCCATGTTGGAAAAGTAGCAAAGAGGCCAGGTGGCTGGAGCAGAGTCTGTGAAAAGGGAGAGAGGAGGAAACAGGTCAGAGAAGTAATCAGTAGGTGGTAAATCAGTAGGGCCTTGTGGTCATAAAGGTGACTCTGGCTTTTCCTCGGAGTGAGGTGCCATTGGTAGGTTTTGAATAAAGGAGTGGCAGAGCCTGACTCAGGTTCTAACAGGATCCCTCTGGCTGCCATGTTGAGAATAGATGAAAGAAGGCAATGATGAAATAGAAAGTCCAGTTAGGAGCTTATTACATAATCACGTAGGTGAGAGATGATGGCAGCTTGGCCCAGGCTGGTGTTGGTGATGAGAAGTAATTGATATATTTTGAAGGGAGAGCCAATAGTACTTCCCTGTTGGAATGGAAGAAAAGTGTAAGAGAATAAGAGAAGTCAAGGGTAACTCCAAGAGATTTTGATCGAAGCAACTGGAAGGATGGATTAGCTATTAACCGAGATGAGATAGACCACAGAAGTATATTTGTTTGGGAAGAGGATCAAGATTTCACTTTGGGCCTTAGTCTGAGATACCTGTGAGAGTTTCAAGTTTAGACGTCAAGCAGGCAGTTAGACATTTAAGTCTAGAGATTTAGGAGAGAGGACTGTGTTGGAGAGCAAATGTAGGGTGCCATTGATACATAGATGGGGTTTGAAACCATGAGGATGGTTGAGATAGCAAGAAAGTTTAAGGAGAACAGAACCAGGGCTGAGTCATGCTCCCTGGTAAGAAGTCAGGGAGCAGAGGAGAAGCCAGCAGAAGGGGCTGGCAAGGAGGGCCAGTGAGGGAGGGCAGCTGGGAGTGAGTAGGATCCCTGAGCTGAATGAAGAGAGTTTCTAAGGAAGGAGGAGTCATCAGCTGCAGCACGCACTGCTAATACATCAGTCAGAAGAGAATGGATATTGAAAATAGTTCACTGGTGACTTGGACAAGGGTGGTTTTGGTGGAGAGCTGGAGATAAAGCCTGAAAATAGTGAGTGTAAGAAAGGATAAGAGGAGGGGAATTGGAGTGTGAGCATAGCTAACTCAAGAAATTTG